TTTTGGTGGGTTTACCACAAACCGCATCGGTCCTGGGACCCTCGTGCTTTTTGTGCGATTCTTCTCGGGTGAAGCACGAACCCAATAGCCAGCGAGGCAGACTACTGATAGGTGTCGCAGGCTGGCCTTTTCAGGCTGGCCTCTGGGGTAATGAGCCCTATTTGCAGTTGGGCGCTGGTACGACATCATACGTGCGCAGATCGCTCACGTAGAGTCTCGCACAGCATGTCTGACAGCTGCGCAAAATTACAGCAGTACTGCTGCGGAGCAGTGCGGCGTGATGTCGCCAAAATACAAGAGCTTTAGTGTCCAGCTGTAGGTATCATGGCAGTGCACTCGGTTTTGAAACATGCTGTGCAATCTTAGGGCTGCTACCCAGGGTTTTTTTCCGGAGCCGAACCTGTAACACGGACAATGCCACCATGCTTGCCTACGCCTCCTCTCTCCAAGGCCCCCCCACCCCACGGGGCACTGCCATGTAGGCCGAGTGTAGAGCGCAAGTGAAATTATGCTAGTTAGTGTGGCTTGCTTGTGCTTACTAGTAAACGACTGCAGAGAAGTGTGGCTATGGCGGCAAAGTGGGGCATATGTCTGGCGCCCTGGCATGTGGAGGAGACCATGTATCAGGTTTCCTCAAAGTAACTTATTGGCCGTGAGAGGGAAGAGTGGGAGCGTATGGTAATGACGAGGTAAGCTTGGGTGTAGGAAGAATGTGTGCGAAACAAAACGCAAAAGCAGCCCGAGGGTTGCTAGCCAGGGTTTTGTAGGTTAGCCCCAAACCTACTAGTAAGGAGTACCACTGACATGTCAAAAGGGCCGCCGGAAAAGAGAGGAGGATTGGATTGCAAATCTGTGTTCAATGTAGACTGCCTGAGTGCTGGCACGCTCGTGCTGCCTTATCAGTAGGGGTCCCTCTGCGGTAATTGACCCACTTGGAGTACTTGGTGTGGATGTTGCGGTAGTCTGCAGTTTGTACCGAGCATTGTAGGTGTCGTCATGTCTACGTCGGTTGGCTCGTCGTGGTGGTTGTCGGCTTGGGTTTGGGAGCGGCTTTGTGTTTCGTTGCCATGTGCTTGGGCGGTGGCTCCCTGAATGGTGCTCCACGTCTATGTTCGTTTACGCTGTTGAGGTAGATCTTGTAGCGAGCGTGGCGTGTGCGTAACCTGTCGATGTAGTTCTGGAACGTGGGGTCGCCCGTCTTGTTGATGCAAATGCTGCGTCAGTTGAAGATGTGTATATGTTGCTCTCCGCGTCGTGCTGATTTGTTGGCGTGTTGCGATTGCTTGAGCGGCTTGCGACGGGAAGCAAGTGTGCCGTCTCGCTAGTGCCTGCGGTACTAACTGCCGCCGAGGGATGGTTTGTAGCCATTGCTGCGTGTTGATGTCCTATCCTGGCGGGTATATGATAGGTCTCGTAAGTGCAGGTGGCGGTGGGTGCGGCGGTATGTAGATGTACGATGGCGACCATTTGATCATCGCAGTGTATGTAGGTGCGGGTGTAATTGCCGATGCTGTTGTATTGTTGGTGTTGGCCGTGTTCGGGAGCTGTTGGACTAAATGAGCTGGCGGTGGCTTGTACGGTCGCAGGTGTGGTGCAGTCGTAATTGCAGTGGTCCTCGTACTGATGTATATCTTTGGTACGGGCTTGCTTGGGATTGTGTTCTGTTTTGGTTGCGTGTGTGGTGAGCTGTCATGCTTTGTGGTTGCTGGTTGTGCGAGCACTTTAGGTTGCGTTGGCTGCTGTCCTTATCCTCCTCATCCTACTGCATACTTTTCCTTATCCTCCTCACTCCAACTCCCCCTTTTGTCATCATCATTGTAATCTCTTGTCTTGTCTCTCTCACTCCTCTCCTATGTCCCCCTCTCTCCTGGCTCCTACCCATCCTGTTGTCTGTACGTGTGCTCCTCACCTTTCTCCGCCGCCGCCGCCGTCTGTTCCTGCTCCTGCTCCTGCTGCTGCTCCTGCTCCTCCTCCTCCTGCTCCTCCTCCTTCTCCTCTTCTTCTTCTCCCCCTGTCCTCAAGCCTGGTCCGCGTCTGACTCTGCCTACTCTCTGGCGCCCGAGTCCCTCCGTCTGCCCAGCAGGCCCCGCGCCTTCTCGAAGTAGTCCGCCAGTGCCCCGTAGCTCTCGAAGCAGTCCTTGTAGTTCTCGGCGCGGTGGGCCCCCTCCGCAGTCTCGAGCGTCTCCTGGGCACAACGGGGCACCCGGCGGCGGAGACCTCCCTGCAACGTAGGCTGCTCGTTCCTCCTCCTCCTCCTCCTCCTCCTCCTCCTCCTCCTCCACCTTGCCTGCTCCTCCATTTTGTGTTGCGCTGGAATTGGCGGGATGGCCGTGGCGTCTTCAGGCCACTGCTCAATCTGAACCAAAAACAAGGTCAGAGCAGTGGCGTACGGCTAACGGCAGGCACAGGCGAGAAGCGGCGCGAACGCGAGCGAGTGAAGGGAAAGACAAGTGGGAAAAGCCGAAATTCGCCGGCCCAACGGGCCCATAGCGTACTAAGATCTCCGGTAACTGTTCAACAATAATCCTGGTTCGCGCGCGCGGGGCCGCCCCTGGTGGTCCCTGGACGAAAAGTACCCCGGCAAGGTCCCGGGCAAGTCCCGGCAAGGTCCAGGGCAGGTCCCGGCCAGGTGCTGGCCAGGTCCCAGCAGGCTCCCAAGAGAGCTTGAAGTGGCCTCCAAGAGAGCTCAACATGGTCCGAGACGGTCCAAGAGCGATCCAAGACGCCAAAGATAGCCTCCAGACAGCCCAAAGCGCCTTCAAGACACCCCAAGAGGCCTCCCTCCCAAGAGGGCCCACAGAGGCAGAAATGAGTGATTTTCCTATACGAGTTTAAAATTTTTGGCGTTCTCGCCTTTTCGGCGTACCGGCGCTCCAAGACGGCCCAAGAGGCTTCCAAGACCGCCCCAGGATGGCCCACGAAGCCTCCAAGAGGGCCCCAAGACGGCCCAAGATGGCCCCAAGACAGCACAAGAGGCGCCCAAGACGGCCTAAGAGGGCCTCCAAACGGCTACAAGAGGGGCCCAAGAAGGGGACCAGGAACCGAAAAGTCCAGTCTTCAGCCCCAACAGGCACCCAGGAGGCCCCAAGAGGCCCCCAAGAGGCCCCAAGAGGCCCCCAAGAGGCCCCAAGAGGCCCCCAAAACGGCCCCCCAAGAGGCCTCAAAGCTGCCTCCCAGAGGCCCTGAGAGGCCAACCACGAGAGCACAACCAACATCCATGAGGCCTCTGACCCACCACCCACCGCCTCCGAAAAATGGCAGCCGCCCAACCGCACCGCATTGACAACAACACCCCGACAAACGACAGCGGTGAGGCAATATGGACAGGCGGAATGAGCGAAACGATCAAATAAAAAAGCATCATGCTGCGCCTGTGTAGGGCAAGGTGTCCCGCACCGAGGGCCAAGAAGGGCAACATGTACAGATGCCCCTGGCGCGAGAGTGCACGATTTGTGGATTTCCTGGACACGGTCACATCCGAAGACGCCCACTACACCCCCAGGCCTCCTCCTCCTCCTCCCCCTCTTCCTCCTCCTCTTCCGCCTCCTCGTCCATCGAAGCTCCTACCCCATGCCGCCTCCTCCTCCCCCTCCTCCGCCGCCTTCTCATCCTCCTCTCCTCCTCTCCTCCTGCCTCCTTCCACCTCGTCGTGCAGGCCTCGCTTCTTCCGCTCCTCCCCCTCCGACCATGCCCGACGGGAGCCACAAAGCGGCATGCTGCCGAGCAGGAGCTCGGAGCGCGCCAGCCCCACGGCGGGGGGTCCGCCGGCGGGGCGGAGCGCGAGGGCCAGCTCTCGAGGGGCGCGAACGGGGCGGGGCGAGCGCGACGCAGTGGCCGCGGCGGGCTCGTGAAGCGCTTGCGTCTCGCTCTGGCAGGGCGTGGGCCACGCTCGGGCGTGCGGGATCCAGAGAGGCGATGCAGGCGGTGGACTGCGCGAGGAAGGTCGGCGCGCGGGGAGAGGAGGCACACCGCGCTGGAACATGCGGGATCCAGAGAGGCGAGGCTGGTGGCGGATTGCGCGAGGAAGGCCGGCGCGCAGGGGAACAAGCGCACCGCCCGACCGAGGGAGTGGGCGGGCGGTGCCCGGAAGCGCGCAGCGGCGCACAGAGGGGCGCAGGCCCCGGGGGCCGAGAGCCGCGGGCGGAGAGAGAAGAGGCAGACGGAGTATGGCGGCCACCGGGCGGCGTGTGGGCGCAGGGCAGCGGCGCAGGCGGCGGCACGGGCCCGGGCCGAGGCCGACGAGATCACCACACGCTTCTCTTCATCCAGCGGCGAGGCGGCGGCACCGTCGCGAGCGCTGAGGCGGGGCGGGACTAGTCCAAGGACCACCTGGCGCTGTAGCTGGGGGGCCAGGATGGAAGCACGCGCATGCGGAGGAGGAGGAGGAGGAGGAGGAGGAGGAGGAGGCAGAAAAACGCAAGAACGCGCATGCACGTGGAAAACGCCCACGAGCCCATGCAAGTGCAGGAGCGCGCGGGGTACAAGCGTTCTCTTCCGACGCGCCGAGGGGGAGATGCCCTCAGAACTGATCAGCGTCCTCGTGAAGGCGAATTGCAGCTTGATCCTCCCGGGGAGCGCGCGCAGGCGCCACCGGGGCAGGAAGCACGGTGATACGAGATAGAGAGAGAGAGAGAGAGACAACAAAAAACAAGAAATGGAGGAAAACATAGGGAAACATTATATATATATATATATATATATAATATATATATATATATATATATATATTCTCATACGCACCTCTCCGAGGGAGTAGAGCTCAGAGGCGATTAATGCGCACGTGTCCGCGATTTGTCTGGGCGTTTCGCTCGGGACATCCTCGAAATTCTGAAAATCGGTGGCACCCCTCACGCAGATCGTGACGTCAGGGTCCAAAAACACATGGGAATTTCAACATTTTAACATAAAACCTTCAAAAACACATGGTAATTTCAATAATTGTGACCCCGATTCTCAGGGAATGGCGGTTTCGCTTGAAAAATCCTTCCAAAATCGAGCCCCAGACCCCGCCTCGGAGCCTCCTGGGGGCCTCCTGGAACCTCCTGGGGCCTCCTGGGGCTTTCTGAACCTTCTGGCACCCCAGACCCCGCCTCGGAGCCTCCTGGGGGTCTCCTGAAACCTCCTGGGGCCTCCTGGGGCCTCCTGCGGCCTCCTGGAGCCTCTTGGGGCCTCCTGAAGCCTCCTGGGGTCTCCTGGGGCCTCCTGAGGCCGCCTGGGGCTTCCTGGGGCCTCCTGGGGCTTCAGAACTACATGCACACAGAGACACAAATCACGCCCAACACATCACACGCTAGACAAACATAACACACACACACACACACACACACACACACCTACAACACACAAAAAGCACGCACCACACAAAGCATACATCACACACACACACACACGCACAACACTCACAATCCTGGGGCCTCCTGGAGCCTCTTCTGGTATCCAAGTCGGGCCTCCTGAGGCTTCCTGGGGGGTCCTGGTACACACATCGCAAGGTGTGGCAACCCCACTTGCGCTCGAGTGCGACTTCGATGTTGCATTTCACTCCTGCTTCAAACGCCCCTTCAGTTTTTTGTATGAGCCTGGGCACACACGTGCCACTTGTACATATTCCTCTTCCTATATTTTTATACGCCCGGGCGGGGGGAAAACCCGTCCCCCCCCCCCTAAAGCGGGACCCCCGGGATCTGGAGCTTTGGGACCCTCCGGACGGGCCTCGAAGCGGCCCCTGGACCTCGCAGGGCGTTTTGCCAAGCCTTCGCAGCACACCCAGGGCGATCAGGGAGGTCACCGGAGACGTCCCAAAAACCCCCAAGACAGCACAAGAGCGCTCCAAGAAGCCGTCATACCCCGAAAGATCGCTCCAAAACGTACCAAGAGGCCTCCAAGAGCACCCCCAAGAAGGCCCCCAAAGGGAAAAATCATTGATTATATACAGATTTTTGGTGGATTTGGGGTTCTCCTCTTTTCGGCTTCCCGATGCTCCAAGACGGCGGTCTCCTAGGCGTCCGAAGCCGCCTGGGATGCTCCAAAATCGCCCCACAACCATCCGAAAGGGCTTCCAGGCAGTCCAAGAGAGCCCCAAAACGGCACAACAGGAGTCCAAAATGGCGCTAAGAGAGCACCATGGCGGCCCAAGATGGCCCCAAGACACCCTCCGAAGCATTCCAAATCGTGACTGGGGCGTTCAGGGAGACCGCGGTTAGAGGCAGGTTGGCCTTAGGAAACCCCATGGCCCCCAGAACACACCCAGGAGGCCTCCAAAAGGATTAAAAAAAGCCTGAGAACTTTGGTGAAGCCCCCAGAGGCTCTCCAAGGAGGAGCCTCCGCAAAAAGAGCTGAGGATGGGGAGAATGCCCAGGGTATGGCGAGAATGAGGAAAACATAAGCATGGAGGAAGGATAACGAACAACATTATTATAACGGCGATGCCAGAAAAGACAGCAAGGAGTTATCGCTAAATTGTCGGCTTGACCTTCCTGCAATTTCCGCCTGCATACCAAACTTCAAGGACCAAGGTGCATGGCGCGAAGCGCCACTGCAGTCTTGTATATACATATATATATAGAAAGAGAGAGAGAGAGAGAGAGAGAGAGAGAGAGAGCGAAAGGCGAACGGACGAAAAACAGCCACGCAGACACCAGACCCCCTCAGCGCCAGCACTCTGGCCGGCGAGCCCTCTCGTCTTCCCTGCTCCCTCTCACCCGCCCTTCCCGCAGCGCTGCTCCTTGAGGAAGACCAGAGTTTGCTCTGGGATCTCCACATCGCCAGGCGCATGCTCACTAGATCCATCCACTGGCGCAGCCTCGCCAAGGGGAGGGATGAGGTAGGAGGATGACGAGGAAGGGCTGTGGAGGATCAGGAGGAGGCGGAGGAGGATGAGGAGGCGGAGGAGGAGGAGGAGGAGGAGGAGGAGGAGGCGGAGAAGGCGGATGAGGAGGAGGACGTCCGTACCGGAGCCACCTCTCCAAGGAGAAAGTCAGGCAGGCGCAGCGGCAGCGCCTCTCCAGGACAAAAGCAATACTGATGCTGCTTCGCTGCGACGACCTCAATTCTGCCATGTTTTGCTGTTCCCATCTCTCTCTATCTCTCATTTTCTGTTCCGCTCTCCCTGCCCTCCTCCATCAGCCCCTACCTACCTTCTCCACCTATCTCCTCCCCCTGTCGCCCCCCCTTCGATTCTTCTCGTCTCAATGTCCTGCTGCTGCTCCTCATGCTCCTACCATCCATTCCTATCTCGCTTCCTCCATCATCCCTCTTCCTCATCATCCTCCTTCTCCCTTCAAACCCCTCCTCGGCGCATCACGATACGTGTTGATGGGGCGGTCTGGGTGGGGCCGTCTGGTCGTTTCGCCTGAGACATCCTCACACGTTACCGTTCTTCATCTTGGGATGTGCCAGCAGTTGCACGGATTGAGAACGGGTGGCTCTCAAATCGAGCCCTCGCTTGAGACTCCCTCACCTCTCCAAATCCTGAACATTTTAAATTTTAAACCATGACATTGTCTTTGGGGCCTGTCGCGCTATTGTCTCCTTCATCATTTTGTTGTTTCTCTCACTCTCTCTCTCAATATCTCATTCTCTCTCACTCTTTTGACACCGCGCGCATTACCAGTCCAACATTATATCAACGAACACCTATCTGGATGGACGACACTTTTTCTCAGGGCCAATGCGATGATTAGGTAAGGTACTCGGCCGAACCTCAATATGGCCATCAAGTCACTGTGCAATGCCTGCAAACGCGAACCCCAAACAGTGACTGCTTGCACACTGGATGTGCAAGCTATGCGACTATGTGATGCAAACAGACTACATAAAAGACCACCACAACCCAACCCGAACACCCGAATTTGACCCGAATTTCGGGTTGGGGGGGGTACGGGCTCTATGTGTTTTTACCATATTTCCCGACCCCCCCCGCTGGAGATGGAGGGCAGATTGAAGCCTTCGGGTTGGGTTGGGGTGTTTTGGTGGGTGATGCAAACCTTGCCGTCGCTCGGACGTCCATTTCTCGTGCATTTTTCGGTTTCGTGCGCGTTTTTTTTGCTCGATGGTCCAGGATGGTCCTCGATGGTTTTCGTCGAGAAGAAATGCACACGTCCCAGCGATGCCAAAAAACTGCGCGGCGAACAATCGGCTACACGCAAGAGTGAACCTCGGTAAATGTGACCTTTCGTGCGCGGCTTTTTAGGACCGCGGGGGGGCCAAAAACAAGCGTGCAAGCCGCTGCTCCTGCTTCGTTTTCAGCCACCTGGAGACCCATCTGTGCCCGCACCAAAGGTCACTCCGGCGAAAGGTCACTCTGGTCGAAACAAACCCCGCCCAACCTGCACGCCGGCCACCATGCGGAACCCCGGCGCACCCAGCCAGCGCACGGAGCCCCTCTCGAGGCGGCCATGGACGGGCACCGACCGGGGCACGCGGCAAAACCCCGACCCACCCACTCAGTTTACGGACGAGGTGAAATAAGAGCCCCTACAGTCGGACTTGATTGGAGAGGACACGCGAGAGGACACAAGACCCTTCCGAGGGCCACTTCGCCACAGGAATACAGGAGGCAGGGGTCGCAAGACACAGGACACGAGGGTACCCTTGACCTCGCAGGGTCGACCTACTAATCCGGGCCGCCTCTGTGTGTAAACACTGCGCGGGGGAACGCCCGCTCGGTCCTCACCATTCCACTCGTGCCGTCCCCGTGGCGACTGCTCCCCGCGTTTCCCGGGTCGCAGACCTCTGGCGGAAACCGCAGGAACCCGGCGACGCGCACAGGGGGACGACCTTCCAGGAAGGCGGGGGGACCTCTTGGGAGGCGGGGGGGTTTCCTGGCAGGGCCCAAAGTCGCTTGCAACAAGGATGCTCCGAGGCCAGGAAGGCGGCTCAGAAGCCACCCGCCTTCTCAGCGCCAGCCCCTCGCGCGCGCCGCCGAGGAGTGTCACCGCTCCGCCCCTCCCAGAGCCCGCGGCAGACCGCCTGCCCTTTTAGCGCCAGCCCCCCGTGCGCGCCGCCGAAGAATGTCACCGACCCGCCCCTCCCAGGGCCCGGACCCCGTGGTAGGCCCTCGTGGCAGGCCCTCGGGATCGCCACCCCGCCAGCGGGCACCCGCTGCAGTTGGCTTGCGACGGGAGGGCGCGCTGCAGTACAATGACGCGTGCTAGGTTTACTCTGCTCCCCCACGCCCTCCCCCTCCCCCCTCCCCCTCCCCCTCCCCCTCCTCCTCCTCCTCCTCCACCTCCGCCTTCTCCGCCTCCTCCTCCTCCTCCTCTCCTCCTCCTCCGCCTCCTCCTCCTCCTCCTCCTCCTCCTCCTCCTCCTCCTCCTCCTCCTCCTCCTCCTCCTCCTCCCTCCTCCTCCTCCTCCTCCTCCTCCTCCTCCTCCTCCTCCTCCTCCTCTCCTCCTCATCATCATCATCATCATCATCATCATCATCATCATCATCATCATCATCATCATCATCATCATTATCCTCCTCCTCATTATTCTCCTCCTCTTCATCGTCTTCCTTTTCCTCCTGCGCACCCCCTCTCCCTCTCCCGCGCCTCCGCCCGCCCCCCTGTTCCTCACTGGGTTCCCCCCTTTCATACCCCGTCTCCTCATTTGTTATCAGTTATTGTCATGTCCTCCTCTTCGGCCTCCTCACCCTCCAACTCCTTGTCCTCCTTCTCCTTCGCCTCCTCCTCATCAGCATCATCAGCATCGCCATCGCCATCACCAGCACCAGCACCATCACCATCACCATCGCAATCGCCATCACCATCGTCATCATCATCGTCATCATGATCACTGGTACCACCAGAATCTTCACCGCAACCCTCCGCATCGTCATAAGTATCAGCACCACCACCACCATCATCAACAACAACATCGCCATCGTCATCGTCATCGTTGTCGTCATCGTCATCGTCATCATCGCCATCACCATCATCAGCATTACCATCGTCATCATCAATGCAAGCATCGTCAGCATCATGATTGCCATCAGCCGCATCAACATCATCATGATCTCTGACTTTCGTTTTTCCAAAGCACCCCATGTGTGAAGCTCGCGAGGAAGAACTGGCCAAAAGGCGGCCAAAGGCGTCGGGGCGCAGCGGCGCTGTCTCTGCCGCGCGGCCTCACCGAGCCCCACAGACAGAGAGCTCTCAACCTGTTCCGACCTCACTGCTACTGCCACGTGTATGATGTGCGTCTCGCTTTTAGGGAGTGCCGGCGACATAGTCACCCATCATGCCGCGCGGGTGTGCTGATGACATAATCGCCAATCACCCTCTACAGCTGGAGCGAGTTGGCCAAGCTGTTGGACGCGTTGACGGTTGTCGGGCGTCGTAGAGGCGAAGGACACGCGGGCCGTACGGCCGCGCCCATCTGGAGATAGCGACGCATCGACTTTGCATTCTTCCAGCGCCCACGGTATTGCAGTAGTCCCAGGTTCTCAAACGAGCGAAAGTGATGGATGGCCCCGCCTCCGCGTAGTGACCCAAGGGTGTATGGCGAGTTGCCGATGCCGACGAGACCCTTCAGGTAGATGAACTTCTGCGTCCACCCCCACAGCTGTCCTGGGCGCAACGCAGACGTCGGGGAGAGGGGCTCAAATACGCGCCCCAACAAGTTCAGTAGCGTTGGATCATCGATCAGGACGCTCTGGAACTTTGGTGCTCGGTCTGCAATGTCTTCGCGGAGAGCAGAACGAGCACGCCTGCGTTGATATCGCACCCCAGGTCCCCCGGCAAAGCGAGGTGCTGCCCGAGGGCGTTTGCAACCTCGCTGGGTCGCAACAGCGAATGGAAGGCGAAGAGCAGGCGCGCCGCCGTTCCGCCCGATCCCTGTGCTTGGGCAGCCACGGCCAGGGCCAGGAGCACTTCGACGGGCGCGAGCGCGCGTCTCGAGCGGCTCGCGGTTGACCGCAGGTTTGGGGCCAGCGGAATCAGACGCCCGCGAGGGTCTCGGACCCCCAAGAATATGGCGCGTTCGCATCATAGAGGTACTTGGCGTAGGCGACGAGGGTGGCGTTGAGCAGCTCGATGTCCCGGCGGGGCAGCCCTCGACATCGGAGCTATAGACTCCACTCGTCGAGCATGACCACATATCGACGGGCAGTGGCCGGCTTGACTGTCACTCGCAGGTCCCGCCCGGGCCGCGAGGCCGCCCGTCGCGAGGCCGCCCGTCGCGAGACCGCGGCGGGGCGCGATGGTGGGCCTTCTCCTGGAAACTCGAGCCGGCTGCAGAAGACCTCCAGGAGCATCACCTGCGCGGCGAACGGCAGCCTGCGTCGAGCTGCTCGGGCACCGCGTCGCACCACTCGCTGGAATGCTCCGCGGCCACCTCCGCCAGGCGCCGCCAGACGCCGCCCTCGCACTTGATGCCGCCCTCCAGGGCGAGGTGTTAGTGGCCGCGGTCGCGTCGCCGTGCAAGCGGGGACAGGAACGGCCGCCGCCCCTTCCAAGAGGTGGTCCTGCGTCATTGCCAGCCCCGCACGCACCAGTCGACGCGTTGGTAGCGCGGGCCTGTATAAAAGGGCTTCCCGGAGTTTTGGGAGCGCCCACCGGAGGGATTGCCGAGGCTGCCCCCGCGCCCAGAGGGTGCCCATGCCTTCGAAGGCCTCCGCGAGTTCCATCCGAGCCTCCGCGCACTTGTTGCCCAGGATATCCGTAGGGCGTTGCCGCGGACGCCGCGGCCGCTGGCGAGTCCCAGAGGGCCGCGGGCGTTCTTGAACCGCGAGAAGGCCCCGCAGAGCAGAGGGGCCCAGGGCGGCTGCCATCTGCCCGGTCCTCGCGACGAGCGAGCGCGCCGGGGTCTGCGAGGTCCT